ATTTAGGGACTTCCTGCCAATAGAGGCTTTTTTATATCTTTTCATTGTGTGTTCAAATCCTAAGAGCAAAAAAGCAGCCCACTGGAAGGTTTTAGCCCCACACAGGACAGAGTTCCTCCAGTGGCCAACTCTTTGAGAGCAAAAGGACTACCTGCTGGAGGGTTTCAGCTTCAAGCAAGGTCAGGTCTCTCTAGCTGGCATCTCTTTCACCCCATTTAACAACCTAGGAGACTGCAACCGGGAGTGCTGGGATTGCGGTTTTTGAACAAAGCAGTCATGTGATGTCTCATTTCACTCAAGGACAGAGATTCTGGTCCCAATAGTGGCTGTATGTCAAGGACTACCTGTAATGTCCAACTCAGAACTACTGCAGATCCCCAACAAAAAGTCCCTTCATACAAAATGAAATAAAAAATAATGCTTACCCATCTACCCTGTACACTCATGGGTTTAATTCATATTGTGTTACAGTAATTGTCTGATCCATTTAAAAAATGAAGTATCTAATCTGAGTGGGTGTTTTTCAATTGCAAAATTGCCTTTTGTTCTACTGGTATATTCCACACTTTTTCAAATCCTTTTGTAAGCTGGGAGATGAAAGCAAATAATAGCAAGTTGGCTATTCTGCAACCAAGGCTTTTTCCAACATGGTTGCATTCTACTCTGGGCGGACACCTAGAACACACTAAAGCCCAGAGGCAAGAGGTAGAATGAAGCAAGTGTTATCACCAGTGCGCAAACAAACCACCCACAAGCTCTGGAGAACTGCAATATTGCACAAGAAAATAATAGCTTTGCTCTCATTAACAGTTGTACTGGCACAGAATTGGAGGGGGGGGAGGCCAAACTGTCAAATTTAAATGTGTTTTAACTATCTGGATTAATTTTACTTAATACAAGATAACCCATGACCAGGGGTGAAATCTAACATTTTTCCCTACCGGTTCTGTGGGCATGGCTTGGTGGGGGAGGTGTCCTGTGACTGAGTGGGCTTGGTCAACTCAAAGTCACTCACAGCCATGCCCACTCAGTCACAAGACCCCCTCCCACCAAGCCACGCCCACAGAACCCGATAGGAAAACTTTTTAAATTTCTATTCTGCCGGCGTGTCCTTACCTTTCTCCCACAGCTCCGCCCACCCACTCCATTCCCCGACTCCTACTGCCCACCTTTCTCCCGCAGCCTGCTGTCAGGGAAGGCAAGCACCCGAAAGGTACCGGAATCGCTCACTCTCCTTCTTGAATGAGCTGCTCTGGTCCACGTGCCGACTGCGCAAGTGCACACCATTTATTTAATTCACTCAGCGGCAGCTTGCGCAACCGGCGTTTGGACCAGAGCGGTTCATTCAAGGAGAGTGAGCAACTCCGGTACCTTTCAGGCACTTGCCTTCCCTGACAGTCAGCTGCGGAAGAAAGGTGAGCAGTAGGAGTCGGGGAATGGTGCATTCCCTGACTCCGGGGAATGGGGCAGGTGGGCGGAGCCTCCAGCTTCCATTGCTACCGGTTCTCCGAACCACCAGCCATCATCGCTACCTACTCGCCCAAGCCAGTCCGAACCGGGAGCATTTCATCCCTGCCCATGACCCATATGGTTATCATTTTAGTGATACCAGATTCATTACCAGTCCCTGGCAAAGTTCTTAAAAATTCAGGAATATATTCAAAGATGCATCTCCGTATACAAAAAAAATATATAAACAAACATCAGCAGTTGACCAAGGAAACATTTTATGTCGTTTTGTCTTATAAAATGAAATTACCAAATACCAGATTCTTTATCAGATTCTTCAATGTTTTCAAAATGGCAGAGCTTCTAATGTACTAGAAAAGTTTTTAAAAATTCAGGGAGATATTCATAGATGTGTCTGCCTTGAAAGTAGCCCATACTTAATTGTATAGCACAGTCAAACATCAGGAGTTGACCACAGGTAAAGCTAACAGACAAAAAAAAGTTTTAGTTTAGTATATAAATACTATCCATATATTAATCTTCAAAAATTATATTGAAATTATCACTTCTGAGGTGACTTTGGGAGAGATGCTGTATCTAAGAATTCGGGGACCGCAGACTGTTCATTTTCAACACTCAGTGGTTTGAATTTTACGATTAACAAAAGTATTGATAACTATGCATGCTTCTTATGGAGGCCAATGCAGTATGCATATCTGAAACTAGAAGGGGCTAAGTTCTTTATATGGAAAGGTTCTTCAATCATTTTTCTCAGCCAGAAATGTTGAACTATATGGTCTTGTCTTCCCCAAATAGCAGATCAACAAGCTGAGAAATAATTAGCTTTTCATTCTCAATAAAAGTGCTCAGCAGTAGTAGCAGTGGTGGGTTTCTACTGGTTCGCCCTGGTTCAAGTGAATCGGTAGTGGCGGCGGTGAGAGGCTCCGCCCACATGCCCGGACGTCATCATGGTTCTGCACATGTGCAAAAGCGCTGCATGTGAGCGACCAATTCTGAACTGGTAGCGAAGGTAAGTGGAACCCACTACTGAGTAGTAGCTGTAGTTTACCTTAACGGTGATTGAGAAAGCTAAGCAAGGAGGGATCTAGGTGATATTGGAATGGGAATTTAACAGGAAATCCCAAAAGCGTGTTGGGAGGTTTAAAAAAAGGTTAAAAGGTAGAAGGTTAAAAGATAAGAGTAATAATAATTAACCAAGAAGAGACTTTTGTGACGCTAGTAAGTGACAAGTTTAAAACTTTTGATTTTATAATCTGAAAATTTCCCCAGTCATATATCAGAAGTCATAAGTAAGGAGTAAGTCATATGCATGGACTATTTCCCTCTTCTTGAGGTCATGCAATATTCTGTTTAATTTCTCCTGCTACTTGCTTTAGGCAAAATGTTACAGCAGCTCATGCCCTTTAAAGGGCTCCAAGGTACTTGGCATAGGGTTTCCTTTAAAGCTGAGTTAATCCAAAATGCAGTGGTCATCTCATTCCTATAATTGGGAACATATTACACATATAGTGTGGGCCCTGCATTGGCCACCAATTAACTTCTAGGTGCAATTGAAGTGCTGGTTTTGATGCACTGCTACTGAATTAGCCTAATCTATCTAGAACAAATGATGGATTCCCATCATTGGAAAATAGAAGCTGAAATCAGGAAGGACCACTTTTCAATACCAATTCACTGTCCTATGGATGCCATCATTGACTCTAATCAGGAAGATGTTAAAGATGGAGCTATTCCAGAGTGTATCCCCGTTTGGGGGCATCTTTTTGTTTATTTTTATTTTGAGTCACAGTTATAAAGTTTTATTTTATGATTTTAAGTTTATTGTAGATGTTCTCAAATTGTTGTTTATGTAAATCGCCATTTCCTCCCGATCAGCTGGGACTCAGGAGGCAGAAAATAGATGGGGGCGGGGCCAGACAGGTGGTATTTACCGGTTCTCCAAACTACTCAAAATTTCCACTACCGGTTCTCCAGAACTGGTCAGAACCTGCTGAAACCCACCTCTGCCCTGGGGGCCACTGATCACCAAGGATTGGCAGACACAATGGATTTCCAGATCAGCAGCAGGACAGGAGGCAACTCTAACAATTCAATTTGGCAGCCTGCAAGTGGATTTGGGCAAAGAGTATTCTCAACCTATTTCTCCAGTTCTTGTGGGCATTGAGGTTAAGGTGCTATGGCACCAGCATACCCTTGCACTAGTTCTTTTAAAGTGAGCAATCAGAGAACACAATTGTTTTTTTTTAAATCTGCCAGGTGAACCCAAAGTTATGACAGGAGTGGGAACAGGACACAAGCTAGCTGCTGGTTTTTGAGCTCTCCTATTGGTTATGAGCAGTTTCAAAATCTTGTAAGAAAAACAGCAGCGAGGAAAATCAGTGCCTTTTGAACCAGTTTGGAATTGGCATATGTGTGTATGAAATAAGTACCTGCATGCTGTAAGAGACCTAAAGACAGCAATCTGACTGGAGATTTTAATTCTAAAAACTAGAATAGGAAATCTTTCGGCTTCCCAGGATATTCTGCTTTTGAGCACTGATTTAAAGTTGGGTTCACTTGTACCTCCTGTGACTTTCACCAGGGTAGCTTTTTTTTTTTTTTAATGATGCTGCATATATACATCTAATAATCCAATTGCAAAAGTATCCAAATTACTATTTAGGAACTATGTACTTAGTTTGATTAGAATAATTATATTGCATATATGGGTACTTTCAACATTTAATTGTCTTATGACTTGCTATTTCTTTCCAAATCCTTGGTATATACTTGAGGTAACTCAAATCTTTCACTATTCTGTTACTCCTGGAGGAGCCACAAAAATATTGTTATTACTATAAACAGCAAACATGATATTCTTGAAACTACTTAGTACTGTATTTGAAACAGGCTGAAAAATCATAGCTGAACATATATTTCAAAGATGGCAACAAATTAAGTAATTATTTCATTTCATTATTTTAAAAAATTAGCAAGGAATATCTCCATGTGTCCAAGTTGAAAGCCATCATATTTTATTACTGTAGTTAAAATGCACATTAAAATATATGGTTTTTTGGAGGAGGCCGGGGGAGTAGGGAAAGTAGATTTATTTAAATTTGACAATAGGAGAATTTCAATAATGATAGAATAACTGTTTAAACTAACAATGAGATTTAAATAGTGCAAGATTAATCGCAAAACATTGCTACAATATCCCTAAATTTTTATTTATACTATTAGGTTGCAAGATCAATAGAAATTTGAAATGAAATTGAGCAAATACTTGTAGCTTTACTTCTAAGGACTAAAGAAAGGCATCTCTACTGCAATTAAAAAAAAATAGGGTGTTAAATTTATGCTGACCTAGATGGAAAGATCTAGCTAATCTTTGCTGATCCTGTTTTAATACCTAAATGGGAATCCATCAAGAAATATCAAGGCTATAAGACCTGAGACATAAAGAAATCATTCTCAAGGAGCCAATGAGAAACCATTTCCATCCCATATGATTGCCAAGAAAATTGTCAATGAAGTCATAATGAATCAAGTTTACTTGAGGTTACTTTTTATTAACATATGGGATATATATATCAATCAACATATGTAGCATCCTCATGCATTTATCAGTGCATGTAGGACACTGGCCAAGATTGCTGTAATCATCAGCTTTGCCTTTGATCTTCTGACCAGGCACTCTGAAAAAGAAAATGTACAGACATAAATGACATATCAGGCTAAGGTACTGCTTTTGAGGAACAAGACTTTAATCATGCTTAATATGTAATGGCTGAGTTCACACAACATATAGTACATTAAAGCTCAAATCAAACAAACATTATTAGGGCGTGATAGAGTAGATAAACCTCAACGCTGATTTAGATGCATATAGCTTTTCCAGGTGATTTCAGTAACCATTGCCAGCGATACCCAGTCTCATACAGTACACATAATGGTGGACTGTGGAAAGACACCATTTTATAGATGGCTTGGTCACATATGTTGTTTTTCAGAGAACATGGAGATGGAAGAAATTACTTTTATAACCTGCAAAAGAAGTACTGTGTTGTTCTACTCTTTTAAGGCAACAAGAATTGCCCATGCTACAAGTGCCAGCTGAGTATGGAAGACAAGGTGAAGGAAATACAGACAAAACATCCCTCGTCCAGCTTCTCAAGAAAGATAAGGAATTCATTAATTGGACATAAGAAGCCTTTCAGAACTACACTGGTACCAAGGATTCTCCCAGAAGACAGAAGCAATCCAGGCAGAAGGGGTGGAGAAATGGAGGAACAACAACATAAAGATTTGAGCCTGTCAGGAAGTGCTTTTATTCTTTGGAGTTTCAGAATAATTTCTAGGGTTTCCTTGTTTATGATGTTTCTGGATGAGGAGCAGCTGTTATAAACTTCAGAGACTGAATAAGAGGATTCTATATGCTCTGTAAAGGAAAGAATACTTAGGTACTTCTGTCCTAAAGGAAGGAAGCAGGTACACTGTTGATAAGAAATTCTCTGAGTACAATACCTGGTGCCCAGATTAGATATATACAGTGGTGGGTTGCTACAGATCAGGCAAACTGGTAGCAGCAGCGGCACACACAGAAGCGTTGCATGCGAGCACGCGCACATAAGAAAACTGGTAGCAAACTAAATTGAAACCCACTGGATATATACCGTATTTTTTGGAGTATAAGACACACTTCCCCCCCCCCCCCCAAAAGTGGGTGGAAATGTCTGTGCATTTTACACACCGAATGTTGCCGAAGCCCTGCCCACCCACTGGCTCCATCCTTTGGCCGTTTTTGGCCTCCGCGTGTCACATTTTTGGCCTCTGCATGCTCCATTTTAGACCCATTCCAGGCTGCAGGGATTGCCATAGCACATCGCTGCCGATTGCCACCTCCATGTGTCACGTTTTTAGCCTCTGTGCGTCGCATTTTCAGCCACCATTCGCCCCATTTTAGACCCGCTCCAGGCTGCAGGGATTGCCGCAGCACATCGCCGTCGATCTCCACCTCCACACATTACATTTTTGGCCTCCACACACCCAGGTTTTGGCCTCCACGCGTCACGTTTTCAGGCAGTTCCAGGTGGCAGGGATCGCTGCCACCGCCGCTGATCCCTGCCACCTGGAACCAGCCAAAAATGCGATGCACAGAGGCCAAAAGTGGGGTGGGGGAGGCTGAAAATGTGACCTGCAGAGGCTGAAAATGTGACATGTGGAAGCCAAAAATGCAATGCGCTGAGGCGGCAATGGGCTGTGGTGATCCTCACAGCCTGGAACAGCTGATTGGTGATATTCCAGGAAGCCAATCCAACCACCAATCAGCTGCTCGTGTTGAATCAGGCTGCAATAATGTGCTGAAACTGACCACGCTGTTTGCTGTTTGCTGCAAGGACACTAATCAGATGAATACTGATGGATGCTGGTAGGCAGAATTCTTGTTTTCCTCCTCAAAAACTAGTGTGTGTCTTGTACTCTGAAAAATACAGTAATTTTAACTCGTTAAGAGTTTGCTGTAGGTTTTTTCTTTGAAGCACAGAAATTTATCAGGCTAGGATGAAGAAATAAATGTACAATGTTTGAGATGGTTAAGGCAAAAGTGAAGCAATCAAATATTTAAACTGAAACTGCAACAACTCTTTCACCAACCATTGAGGAGCAGTTGATGGTTTCCTTCCTGTGTTTGTATTGTTTAATCCTCTTGAAGTTACACCAAATGTTGACTTTAGAAAATGAAAAAATAAAGAAAAATATTTTAAAATTGTTTCCTGGCACAATTCTATACCTACAGTAGATATAAAGTTCTTCATATCTTAAACAATTAAAGTAAGAATTTAAATACTCTTATTTCAAATTAGTATCATTATAAATAAATACTATATATTCTTTACCCTTTTTCTAGTTTGGATGAATCATTGCTCTGGTTAAGCATTCCTAGATCATGAAGTCCTGAAACTAAACTGGTAAGAATACCGGAAAAATCTCTTTGTTCTCCTTGGCTAATTGATAACTTGAAATGTATGACTAAACAATGCACAAATTAAAGAAATACTGAACACTCAGAGTCCCTATGATACACTGAATGAAGCAATTCTCAGTAACCACAATGTTCTTCAAATAGCTCAGTAATTTATACATTATTCTATAGTGAGTAATGCTCTGGGGTTAAGAATGAACTCTTCCTTCAAGCAAAAATAGCTTTCCCTGAGCATTTCTAAAAGAAAGTTTCCTTTTGTACTATTTCTAAAATGGATTAGCTACCTCTTACTTCCCACTCTCTCCTTTCTGCTTAAAAGCTGACAATGTAAGGCAGTCATGAAAGGTTACTACTACCACCAAGATGCTATTTGCACACTCTTGCCTGTCCCCTGACCCTGTCCATAAATCCATGGAATTATCTACTTTGGTGATATTCCCTTGGGATATACTCCTCTCTGACTCAGAAGGGATTTTTGTGTTCTATTTAGTACTGGAGACAGATTTTAGATTTACAATAAAACAGAGTAACCGCCTTTCAGATTTTTATCCTAGCAGTCTTTGGGGTACGTCGAAATCTCTTTTCCACATAGTAAAAACCAAACTAATAAATCTACATGTGACTTTCTGCGTTCTATTCGACCAGTTATAAATCACAGATCAAGGGGTTTTCCCATCAGGTTACTTTAACGTCCAGAGAACTCAGCATTTTGTAAATCATTTGGTGACATTTCAGCCCTTAAATTTATGTTGCCCTAATATGGAGTTTAGATTTCTCTGACATAGTTTTTTCATAATTGTATGCTGTATGTTAACATAGATGATATCCGTAGATGAACTGTGGACTACCCCAAATATGCATCTTTTTCAGATGTTATTGAATTGATGTGGCCAACTTTGGTCATTTTGCCTGTACAGCTCTCCATTTGCTAGGTCTACATGATATGCTTTTCAAGTGAACAAGGAGATCCTGCAATCTCTCATAGGTTTGCCTAAGAATCACAAAAACAATAGTACCTTACTGTGCAGATGCTTTCCTTTTCATATTATTGTAATGTAGGCATGTTCTACCTTCAGGCAGGGGGAGAGAAGATAGCCTCAGGCAGCAGCCATGGATTAATCAAGATTCGACTACTTGTCAGTGCTGAAGAAAGATTCGGCTGCTCCTAAGTCAAGGTCTGAATGTGAGATGAGAAGTACTGTTTTTTCCATTGTTTGACATACAAAACATACTACAAGATACTCTGCCTGAATGTTACTCTGTTTATTTTCTAAGGCAGCAAAGCACTTTTCTTCTGTGTAATTTTCTCAATGCACATTGAATCATATTTTTATACCATAATATAGCAATTCTTTATTCTTCATCCTCTCCTCTATAGTGCCAGCTGTTTCTTTAATTCTAATAACTACTGTAGGTTTATACATGGAACGGGAAGTATGCTTTGCTTCAAACTGCAAGAGTCATTTTAAAAAGAAATGAAACCTGGAAGCAGAGGCTTCTTTCTCTGTGTTTGTCAAAAAGTCAATATGGGGGCTACAGCTACACCGTGGAAACCCCACATCTTTTTCATGTACACTGGACTTGTCACCCACATTGAAAAAGGACTGGGGTTTAATCATGCAGTTGTCGGTGGCAACCTGACTTTTATTTATTTTTTAATCTCCCCACCGCTGGACACCTCTGCCTAGAACATTTTATTTTTTATTTATTTTATTTTTATTTATTTTTATATGCCGCCCTTCTCCGGAGACTCAGGGCGGCTTACAATGCATTAAGCAATAGCCTTCATACTTTTGTATATTTTATACAAAGTCAGCTTATTGCCCCCACAAACCGGGTCCTCATTTTACCCACCTTAGAAAGGATGGAAGGCTGAGTCGACCTTGAGCCTGGTGAGAATTGAACTCGCAGTAATTGCAGGCAGCTGGATGTTAAATGCTGCCTTAGTAGGAGGCATTAGCCTCCTACGCCACTCAGGCTCCTTTTGATTCTTTTAGGTTTCACATGAAACAAAATTCAGAACAATCCTGAAATTATTTTATACAGTGTATCACACAAGGCTGGTGTGCTTCATTTCTTCCTCCTCCTGTCCCTTAATCTTCTTAAGCAGATTTTCCCTGAGCTGTAGGAAGGAATGTGAAATAGCAAATATCCTTGCTCTACTAAAAGCTTTCCATAAATGACATGTGTTTATTTTCTCTTACATAGACTTATTCTTAAGTACACCTATGTCTAGTTCTTGATGGGGGAACTACAACACAGTATTAAAAATCGTATTAAAAGTTAAGTTTTGAGATGGTATTTGAAGACAGAACCGAGTTATACAGATCTCCAAGTATTTTGTGAAGAGTTCTAAGGCTTAAGCAACAAAGAGATTAACAGCAGAGTTGCTGTATAATGCTAGCAAAAAAAATACATTAGCAGAAAAAGGAATGGGGCAATGCAATGGAGAGCTTTGAAGATCAAGACTTCTGTCATTGTATTTTAGTGTTATATTGAAATGCTCCAAACAAACAAGCAAGAATAAAGAAGGATTTCTTCTGCATCCCAGAATAGAAGCCCGGGGAAAGATTTGAAGAAGAATGTCACATATCACTGTGACAAGAGCATATTCTAGCTGGAGGTAAGGTTAAAAAAAGAAAAAAAAACCAGGAGAGAAGGTCAAAGTTTGTGAATCAGAATGTTGTTGAGGAGAGATAAAGAAAGGCAATACTTTTGCAATTATACCAAAGGAATAAAATGATTAGTCTATTAATTCAGTTTGGGAAACAAAGGAAGACAAATAATTGAAGGGGGAAAAAAAGTGGAATAATTACTCAATCTTAATGTGTCTATCTTGTTTTACCTGAGCTAAAATATAGGGTTTTTTTAAAAAAAATGATTTAATAAGTTGTGTGAATCCAGACAGTGAACAATGGTACGTAATATAGTAACTGAGACTTATGGACATCTGATTTCCTCTGTTCCTGGAGAACTTCTGCATGCTACCCCTGCATAGGACATACACAATTTGTTATTTTAAGTTACTTTTTTCCATCAAAAAGAAACACTGATGACTTTGTAGTTCCATCAGGATTCACAGCGGTTTAATCAATATAGATACAGACATATTACCAATGCCAATCGGCATGTTATCAGTTATCAATATCAGCACACTGTAAAAAGAAAGATGCACACTGAAAATGGAAATATTGTGCCATTTTCACTTTTGTGAAGCTGTATGATCTGATTAACTTCCTTATTTTCTTTGGTACTTCTTTGAAATCTCCCATTTCAGATGCTCTATGAATGCAGCAAAGTTACAAACAACACAAGAAGCCCGACAGCACAAGAACAAAGAAGTCAGCAAATCTGAGTAATCTTGTTCTATTGGCTTTTTGCTGCTTCTTTTTCCCCAAATAGATCAAACATCTTCAGAGTCCTGAGATAGTCATGTCACAGATGGATGGATGCACCCTGAATGAAATACCCATGAATCCATGCATGAAGGATTCCCCTCCCCCCAAAGATTATGGGAAAAAGGATAAAGAGAAATGTCCTTTAAAAAATACCCTAAATATCAGAATGAAGATGGACTTAAACTGATTCAGGAACTTTCACTGGTTGGTTTTGAGGAGATTCAGTATGGCAAAACCTGAATAGAGTTCTCTTAACTAATAGTTTAAGTGGGCTTGTTGCAAATAAATGAGAAAGCTGTGGTGGCGCAGTGGTCAGAATGCAATATTGCAGGCTAACTCACTGCTGACTGCCAGGAGTTCGATACTGACCATCTCACTCAGCCTTCCATCCTTCTGAGGATCCAGATTGTTGGGGGCATTATGGTGACTCTGTAAACCTCTTAGAGAGGGCTGTAAAACACCGTGAAGCGGTATATAAGTCTAAGTGCTATTGCTAAAGTAAGTATTCAAGGAACCTTGCAATAAATATGGTTCTTCTCAATGATGTGCTCCTTCTTCAATTGAAACCATGACAACTTTCATTAATATCAGCATTTTGTAGAAGCAAACCCTCCACAGTGGCCGGAAAAGAAAGTTCTGTTCTACAGGAAAAGAACATGAATTTCTAGATATTTTAATGAGGACATGTGCCACTATTGTAGCACATAGGCACAGAAACTTCTCTGTTCAAAACAAGCAACAATGCCAAAGGATCTGGAAATGAAAGCAACTGCTATGAGCTTGCAAACTGAGAGCAAAAAATTCAAGCTAGGGTTATCACTGCTTGTTGTAAAACCACAAACAACAGAGGACAACTGGCTGCATAAGAACAAAGGCAGTTGGCAAATCCCAGCAAACTTATTCCGTTTGCTGATTTTTTTTCTATAAATGTATCAACAAGTTTAGAGTCACAAGATGGTCATGTCACTGTTGAATGGATGTACTATGAGTGAATTATATCAGTATTTTAGATCAGGAAATTTACATGCTTGAAGGAATACGTGAAGGCCACCCTTCCTCCTGATTATGGGAAAAAGATAAATAGTGATGGCTTTTAAAATAAGACCGAAACTAACTTCTCCAATTATAAAATCTAAAGTCACTGGAACTGATTTTCCATTTCATAAGACTCAGGCAAGACAGCGCAAATGTTCAATTTATTCAGTAATAAACTGAAGTTAACTATCAGCAAAATAGAGATGCTCTGAATTGGCAGCTTGCAAGTCTGGGAACATACCTGGAGCTATATTCCTCTTGCAGAAGCAGATACATAATTCAGGTTGTGGATTCATCTGTATCACTCAAGGCCCAGGTGTCACTGGATGCATCCAGCCACCTATATCTCACTTCGCAATTGCAACTCCCAGGGATGGCCTGATCACTTTAGTGCATTATTTTTGGGTTATTGCAGTGCACTCTATGAAAAGTCTGCCTTTTGAAGATGGAAACTGCAGGTAGCGAAAAATACAGCAGCAAGCCTGTTATCTAGAACAGTTTTAACAGACCAAGTAACATTAGCCCTGGAAGAATTGCACCAGGTGCCAGTAACATTACCCCTTGGATGAGTAGGAGTATATTGGATGAGGATATTACACTCTGTAGGAACAGAGAGGCGCTCTCCTCAGTCTCCTAGGGCTGGGAGAACCACATTATTGGGAGATGAGCCCAGCTGTACAACGGCCTTCCCTAGAGGCTTCGCTGCTGCCAATATTACTTGCCTTTCGGTACCAGGTAGTTTTCCTTCCTCTACCTGAGACTTACAAACAATGCCTTTTGTCTTTTAAGTGCCTCTCTGTCAGGGTAATTTATCTGTGTATTTTAAAGGGTATGATTTAAAATATTACTTATTTTATTTGGCTTTATTGTATTATCTTATTACTTGCTGCCACACTATTGAAATAATAAATAAATAATAAATAAATGTTTAAATTGATAATCAGACAGGTTGTCTGGGCTGAACCAGATAATGGTAATCTATATAGGTTAGCATGTTACAGCCTTTTAATTTTGTGTAAAAGTATCTTCTCTATTTTTAAAATTATAAATATTGCTATTATTACATTTTTATCCCACTTTTTTATATATACTACAACTCAAAGTGGTAATATATGTAATACTCCTGCTGTTTTCCCCATTGAGAGTGCCTAGCCTTTCATACCCAAGGGAAGTCTAGAATTCACAAGATTCCGGGTTTCTAGGCTAGTACTATCAATATTTATTGTTGTGGTGTCTATTATGAATTACAGTATTTTTTTTTACAGTATTTTTGATTTGCAAACAATCTATTTAGGTCAGGTTGACAACTCTGTTCCAACTTCCACTTGTAATCACTGGTAATTATTCTTAGCAATGGTCCTACAGTTTACTGAAGAAGAACTTTCTATCTTGGGCTCTTTGTTCCAAGAATTAGAATTGTTTAAGAAGAAACAAAACATCCAAATTCTCAGCCATTATCATTAATCAATAGAATATCAAACCTTTCCTATTCTAAAATACAGCTTTATTATTTTGTTCTGTGCTTTCCTCAGGTCAGAACAGGGGTGGGTTCTACTTACCTTTACTACTGGTTCACAACGGGATCGCGCACACACTTGCTAATAAATAAAACTCTATTTAGAAATTATGCACATTTCAAATTCAAGTTTGCCTTTGTTCTTTCTCAGCTGGGGAAATTGAGTCAGTTACACATTTGACTTGGCTGCTCATTTTATTTGACATGGGACATTGATTGGATGAAGCCTTGATTATCTAACTGTCCTACAGGTCAGATAATGAGAATGTATTTTTCCTACAAGCAGATTCATTCTTAGAAATCTTTTTTGGGGGGCGGGGGGAGATGCTGTCCATTGGCTTTGCTGTTCAGACTCTTTGTATAATGTGTAACACTGCAGATCCTATGGAATTCTATCACTTAATGCAGTAAACCAAGTTTTTTTGTGTATTCTTTCTATTTTCCCACTATTTTTCTTTTAATTATATCCATTGTATAAAGAACTTCTAGTCTTTGACCATCTGTAAGATATATTTATTTGATTAGCAACAAAATTAGCATCAGCACCAGCCATCCCTGGGCTATCCTTAACAATAAAAGTTAACCCAAAACAGGGCAACTTGCCATAGCCAACTCGCCCCAGGCCAACACACAGCGGGACAAGAGTTACACTGATATCAAAGAAATGGTAGAATAGAATCATTAAAGAAAGGATGCCAAAGGAGTGACAAAATGAAATGTAAATGACAAAAATTAAAATATTTTTAATTAAATAATTAAATTGAATTGTTGAATTGCCCAAAGCAAGTTGTCCCTCAGCGAGTTGTCTCACAGAACCATTTTGCAGAGAAAACCCTTTAAAGAACAGATTATGTAGCTCTTCCTCGAATTTATTGCTAGACTTAGACAGCAACCACAAATCTGGGAATTTGCTTTTTATAGTAGAAAGCCTGCAGATAAAATAATTTCAGCTAGAAATTAAATTAGTTGGAGCAGTACACTTTAGAGTAAGCATACATTGCAAAATGTACATATTGCTGCCCACCCTTCAGCAAATACGGAATGAATTCATGCATTATCGTGATTTGTATTTTTATTACAATTATGTTACACACATTAAACTAATACTATACACAGGCGCGGGCACACACACATACACAGAATGCAGAAAAAGAAAAAATAAAGAAAAAGAGAACAAAAGCTCGCTCTATATCCTCAGCAAGTGTAATCAACATTAACAGCATATCACCATCTCTTAAAATACAACTAACCCATATCTTCATTCCATAACTCATACCCTTCTTTATAAATCAATCTCATCACACCATCTTAGCCAGCAAAAGTCTATTAAGGATTATCAGAAATAACTACAGCATTAATAATAATAATAACAACTTTATTGTCATTGTACATGTATACACAGTATACCCATACAACGAAATTTACTTAACACCCAAAGACCAGGCCCAACACATATAACAATCCCCAAACACTGCCACCCACCACAATTCTCCACCCCTAAACCACCCAAACATCCACACAACAGACCAAGTAATGCTGTCCAACAGCTCACGGATGGTGGCCCTTTAGTTCATTGTTGAGTGCAATTATAGTTCTGGGATAAAAACTATTCAGAAAATGTGTGATCTAAGTTTTAATTGTTCTGTATCTTCTGCCAGAAGGCAACAGTCCAAAAAGATTGTAAGCAGGATGAGAAGAGTCTCTGAGAATGTTACTTCCTCAAACAGCAAGATTCGAAGATGTCGCCCAGGGCTGGTAGCTGGAGCCCGATGATATTCTGGGCAGTTTTAATGATTCTCTGTAGAGCTTTTTTGTCTGCTACAGAGCTGCTCCCATACCATGCAAGAATGCCATAAGTCAGGACACTCTCAATGGTCCTGCAAGAGTAGGACAGAAGTAGATCCTGAGATAGATTTATCTTCCTGAGCATTCTCAGGAAGAACAGCCTCTTCCATGCCTTCTTCACAAGCATGATATAAATGCCCAGATAAACTATATCTAATAAATCTAGTCTGAATGCTTTCTTTTACTTTATCTCCTTTTCTAGCAATCTATTTATTTTAGCCTTGATCAAATAAAACAATTTTATATTCTTTCCTCCTTTTCCTGAAAATCTTTAGTCCCCTCAAACAATTTCCTAACATCTGCTTCCTTTTCATATTCTTTAAAGGCCCTTTTTGTAATTAAAGTATTAAAAGGTTATCCACATATTCTTTTGTGTTTGTATTCTTTCTGTTCTCAAGAAATCAATGACAACTTCAACAAGTCCCTTTAATAAATCCACTATAAGGAGAATATTTACATCATTCTTCTGGTTTAGTAGTTGTGTGTCTTTTAAATTGTTAAATAATCAACAAATCTCATTTGCAAATGTATTTTTTTTTTGTATATCCATTATTTCATCTTTTTCTATCTCTTATATGCTATCATTTTCAAATCCACATTTAAATTAATTTGTTTTATTCGATGTAACTTGTTCCTCTTCTATAACATCATCCATTTTTTCAATAATAGCAGATAACTTATTTTTGGAGCCCAATAATCATAGATTTCTCTTAAAGAATTTATTGATAATTTATTTCCTTCTGGTGCCCTCTAGTGACCAATTTTCAAAATCACCTTATCAATTCCAAGTGCAAACATAGATAACTTTCCACAGGAAGGATTCTTATAGTTACTGTAATTTTAAAGTTCTAATTCAAGTCAATCTGGACCTTTCATCCATTTAAAAAATTCTCAAATCAGCACTTTTGCTGCATATTTAAAAATTTTTGGAAAAGTCTGAATTATAATTAAAACTTCTTTCCTAAAAATTGAAGAACTTAATATGATCACATTTCCAGTTCTGAAGGTCTTTAATCTTTAAAAAGCAACCTAAAAAAAGATAAACTCCAAAATGATTAAGTGAGGTTTGGTTGAACCTTGAAAGGGTGCCTTGAGGGCTATGAGTTTGGTGGAATCCGGCTAATATCAGCTGTTTGAAAGCAATTGCAAACCTCAGTTTCTGTCAGGGTGGATTTGATTTAAATCGAGTTGATTTAAATCACAATTTAAATCATGATTTAAATCACTAGTAAAAAGGCTTGATTTAAATCAACTCGATTTAAATCATAATTTTTAAAGAGCAACTGTCATCTCTGCTACTCCTTTGACCCACTGTTCACTCACCGATAGTCCCAGTGTTGCAGAATATACAGCCTCATGCTACATAACTAAGCTCCATTTTATGCTGAATAAACTAAATTATTTATCTTAAATAGAAAACTATCTTACGATAGATTTTTACCCCAAGTTTTTTATTAAAATAAATCCGATTTAAATAAAAAAAATCTGATTTTTTTAATTTTTTAAAAAAAATCATTGATTTTTATCCATCCTGGTTTCTGCAGTGTACTTACTACCTTTACCCCAGCTGTCCAGTGTATATATGGGCAATCTCAAGATCTCTTCTTTCTCCAGAGAGATTTCAATGGTCCAGATCCAGCATCCAGTTGCCATTTTCAACCACAATGTTTCTGCTGTTTGTGGGATCAGTTTACCATTTCCTCACCAGAAATCTCCTGAGCCAGGATTTTTATCATGGTTTGTTGAATGGTCTGATTTGCATAGGAAAAGTAAACTAACTCTATAATTGCTTAGCATTATGTATTAACCAGACCAGAAAATAAGTGCAAACATTATGTTATATCAATTGCATCTAGCAAGAACTGCAAGCAGGAAAATACTCATAACTTTATTGTCATTGTACATGTATACACAGTATACCGATACAACAAAATTCACTTAACACCCAAAGACTAGGTTCAACACACATAACAATCCCCAAACACACTCCCACCCACCACAATTCTCCACCCCTAAACCACCCAAACATCCACACAACAGACCAAGTAATACTGTCCAACAACTCACTGATGGTGGCCCTTTAGTTCATTGTTGAGTGCAATTATAGCTTTTGGATAAAAACTATTCAGAAAATGTGTGGTCCGAGTTTTGTTCTGTATCTTCTGCCAGAAGGCAACAGTCTAAAAAAATTGTAAACAGGATGGGAAGAGTCTCTGAGAATGTTATGCAACTTTCTCAAACAGCGAGATTCGAAGATGTCGTCCAGGGCTGGTAGCTGGAGTCCGATGATATTCTGGGCAGTTTTAATGATTCTCTGTAGAGCTTTTTTATTAGAGCACTTTCCTGCCTGCAATTCTTGATAGATGCAATTGATTATGATGAGAATACAGATTACAGCTCCAGTAATTTATTAAGAGATTACACTTCCCATTGCTCCTGCCAATTACTACCAAATTAATTTGATGATGAGGTAATTAAATGAAAAGTATTGCTGTGTATTGTTGCGGGTATTATGAATGGGCTGCTGCCATCCCAGCAGCCCATTCATTACCTCTAATTCTAACGTATCTGGGAGGATAAAATTAAAACACTGATGTTTATTTCACAACAAAACAAATGCGGGAACATTTCAGGACATACCATATGAAATTAGTAAGATGGCTATGAAAGGAAGCTATAACTTCATTTCCACAAAGTAGAATATATTGATGTTTGAAATACTAGCATTTGCTTTTTAAATGTATTTTATTTGAGGATAAGAGAATAAATATATTTGAAAAGCTTCTCTCCTTTTCCCTGTTACAAAATCAAAAACTGTTCTCATTTGTGCACAATGCTAATTAGTGGATGATGTAAAATAAAATACATTTTACTTTTTGATCAGCTTCCAATAGCTTTACATTCTAAACCCTGCATTTATGACTGGATCTTATGTATTATCAATTTTTAAGGATATGTTGTCATAGGTAAAGGTAAAGGTTCCCCTTGCACATATGTGTTAGTCGTTCCTGACTCTAGGGGGCGGTGCTCATCTCCATTTCAAAGCCGAAGAGCCAGCACTGTCCAAAGACGTCATGTGGTCATGTGGCGGGTATGACTAAACGCCAAAGGCACACAGAACGCTGTTACCTTCCCACCAAAGGTGGCCATTTTACTACTTGCATTTTTTATGTGCTTTTGAACTGCTAGGTTGGCAGAAGCTGAGACATGTAATGGGAGCTCACCCTGTTACACGGCACTAGGGATTAAACCGCTGAACTGCCAACCTTTCAATTAACAAGCTCAGTTTCTTAGCCACTGAGCCACCGCATCCCTTATATATGCTGTCATACAGTAAATCATATTAAAACTCTTAAAAACAACATTAATATGTTTACAGTTATTGATTTACATTTTTAATTATCACAAAGTGTTTAGAATTATGTAGAGTCTTCATCAAATGATTTCCTTCGCCATAACAATTCTGTTGTGTTATGCAAAGGTTGTGCTTTATTTGCAGCATCATTGTTGCATTTTAATTCAGTTAAATGTATTTTATCATATTCTGATCTAAAATGGCTAATAGAACAAAGCATATAGCAAAGTTACCTATCTAGAATAATTCAGAATATGAATTCTGACAATTATTTGGAAAGCAGTATAAAATATAAAAGGAATGCTGTATCCTAATGAGGGATTTAAGAATAATCTCACAACTGAAATAAAATTTCCTATTTCTTCTGCTACTCATTAATACCTATCGACTCATGACAACTATCAGAAGAGACTGAAAACTTGAGGGGACACTGCCCATTAACCCTCACGCAGGGGCATGAGATCTGAAAGACTGAAAGATGCGGACAACCACAAGTTGGCAGCAAAACGATTCAGAAAACCTGCTAACCACTGATCGTCCACATTTTTTGCAGCCCAGACCTGGCAGCTCTTATCACTTTGCTTCTGAAGAGCTGATAACGAGAGATCAAATCTTCAAAATGGTTAGTAGTTTCTTTCTAAATTACGGTCACGGTAAAATTGATCCAGAACAATCTTGTTAAATGACAGCTCACCTGGTTTTTTTTTGGGGGGGGGCAGACAGTTTAGTCTCCCTGCAACCAAGAGCCTTGGTGGCGCAGCTGACTAAAGCACTGTTAAGTAACACTAGCTGTCTGCAATTACTGACTCAGCCTTCCATCCTTTCGAGGTAGGTAAAATGAGGACCCGGTTTGTGGGGGCAATAAGCTGACTTTGTATAAAAAAGAACACCGCTTGGGGGGGCCAAAAGCCCTACTAAGCAGGTATATACAAAAGTATGAAGGCTATTGCTTAACGCATTGTAAGCCGCCCTGAGTCTCCGGAGAAGGGCGGCATATAAATCGAACCAATCAATCAATAAACCACAAGCAATGTCAGCACATGCGCAGTCCAGTTCGTCTAATAAAATCCGACAGGCGCTAGAATAATTATTAAACTAATCTGACCTTCCGTTCCCTTGCCAGCGCCGCCTGGTATATTATATACGCCAGGACTCCACACACCTTGGAACAGCAGCCTTCTCCAATAAGCCACTCTCCGCACTGATTGGTAATATGGGATTTATTATAGTCCAACTCAACTGCAAGATTCCCAACGTGAGCAGACTGCTATCCTATAGAACTAGCAGCGCATACATACATACATAACTATCATACATCATGTATGTGTCATATATACATATCTATCATACATCTCATACATATGTATCATACATGTGTCATATATACATATCTATCATACATATCTAACATACATACATGCGCGGCTCAGGTTTGTAACAAAATCTCCTTCCAGACACTTTTGTCCGCCGCTCTTCTCCTCTAAATTCAAGTTGTAATAACCAAGCGCTTTTCCCTACGCACGAAATTCTAACCCCGCCCACTTCCGTTGCAACGACCATTAAGTTCCTCTCCAAGGAGATTTCCCCTGTTAACGGTTACTTGGACCGCCAAGACAGGTAACCATCTTTATTGATGGAAAAGAATCCACTGTTTAAAAAAGGTGCATGAAACCGTAGACTGAGTGGTCCGGCGTTTTAATTTTTAAGAGGTGAGTCGACCGAAGGTCTGCCCGTGCGCTAAAGGGGGAAAAGCGGTAGGTAGGTTAGCGACGGACCGTTTCCCTTCTGCCCTCAGTCAATATGTCTGCGTCTTAACAGGCGAGAGCAGCGAAGCGCGGAGACAAAATGGCCGCTGAGAGCGGGAGGGGGCGCTCTAGCGCGGCGTCTCTGTGTTCTTCTGAGCGTGCTGGCGGATTTGAGCCTCGCCGAGTTTGAGGCTGAGAGCGAGTTGGGGGCCAAGAGAATCGCTGGAGCGGGAGGGAACCTGGACGTTCACACGGCCGCCTCAGTGACTTTTGCCCGGGAGCTGCCTCTGCTTCTCCGGAAGCTTCTGCTGGAATCCTCCGTCTTGCCTCATCCTATTGCTCTCTCCTCGCTCTTTCTGCGTTTGTGTGTGTGTGTGTCTCTCCTCCGAAACCTGTCTCGTTTTTTAATCCCGCTCTTCTGCCTATCCCCCCCCCCCCCCCCCCACCCCCCCCCTGGCCCCCTCTTTTTTCCCGGTGGGGAAAAAGGGTCTCCTTTCCTTTCGCCTCAGTCAGAACTGCGGGTCTCTGGGTCCTCTGAATCAGCTGCATAGGTTCAACTCCTCAGCCGCCCCACCCTCCACAAGTCCCAGGAAGGTGGCTGCCTTTCGCTTCTTCTCCAACCCCCGTTTTTCCAACTTCCTCGTCTCTCCTGGATTGGGGATTTTCCTGCCTTCCCCTGTTTGCCCCGCAGAGTCTCTACCGGGAAGATCCTATCAAGTCCTGCCTGCTTACCTGTAACTAACTTTCTTTGGGACTGCCAGAGGGGAGGACACCCCTCCGCTCCCCCTCTCTGGAACTATCCCTTTTGTCTCTAGAGAAATTGGCTCTCCTCCTGTGTCTGTCTTCCCTGTTTGGTAATGTAACCAAATTGCATTGCTTCATTGCTTGTTGCCTTCGCTGCCTAATCGTATTGTGGACAGTCCTCTCAAATCTCTCTCTCCCCCCCTCCCCAAATAAACTTAAAAGTCTCCTTTTCTCTCTGACCAACCTGTGACATTTCCACGTATTGATAATCAGTGTGACGATTTGCTTTTAAGATTTTCTGACTCCTGGAGGCAAACGCCCAGCCTTGACTTCCATTAGTTTTATGTCTTACTGAAGGGCTTTTCCCTCACCTAATGTTTTAAGTGCTGCTGCTTTGAATGTAACTTTTTCTGATTGCCCTAATTATTGGAAAACGGGCAAGTCTTTCCTAACCAGAATTTTTTTTTACCGACATCACCATCTCAGTGCAGTGTGAGTGATACTAGTATTTGGAGAACTAAAGAGGAGGATGCCAAGGAAACTGCTGTTGCCTTATAAATCTGTGTTTTCTCACTCTCGAGTTCGAAGGGGGTTGCATGATTCTTTGGCAATGAATGCAGCCAGAAGTGGCTACCGGGTCTTCTCAGCAAATTCCTCAGCAGCCTGCACAGAACTGGCCAAGAGGATCACTGAGTGAGTGTATTACAATTTTTAGCATTGTGTTCTCTCATTCTTCATAATGACTTTTAGTCCTTGGCAATTACTATAAGACAATGTAAATCCTGTTGTTGTAATTGCCAAGGAAAATTGGTTTTCCACTTTTTTCAGTATAATTCAAGAATGTGTATTTTTCAAAACTAAAGAATCTTATTTAAAGAAGCAAAGTCTTGTAAGAATTATTAAATTGCAGCTGGTATTTGAAATATTTTAGATTGGATTTTAATAGACAGTAAGCATTCATGAATGCTTACTGTCTATTAAAGTCCAATCTAAAATATTTCAAACACCAGTTGTCATGTATGTGCATGTTTTAGTTCCATTCATACAGCTGAGAAACAAAACCCTTTATGTCTATATGTTAATATAGTATTTTATATTCTTGCTGGGCAATTTAAATATATTGTTTAATTGCCTTTTTCCTTTGTATAATTTACTACATTTAGGTTGTACTGTTGATAATTGTTCGGCGCCTGCACAGCCCACCTAATTTATTTTATTTTATTTTATTTTATTATTGAATTTCTATACCGCCCTTCTCCCTAAGGACTCAGGGCGGTGTACAGCCAAAATTAAAAAACATGCAGGACAAATATTAAAAAAACAATTAAAAGATATATAAATTTGGCCCAATTAAAACTCATTACCAATTAAACATTTAAAACAATTAAAAACAATTAAAAATTTCATCTTAAGGTTAAGTGGCTTAATGGTTCAGTGGCTGATTTTGACAGCCAACCAAAATCTGTATTTGCTAATAGTGATATTAATTTTAAGATGCTATGGAGCTAGAAGAGATGGCATTTCTTTTTAGTGTATCTCTGAGGTTTTACAAGATTAGAAGCAAAAATTTTGCTCTGCTCTCAAAGTTTTCAGAGTCAAAGCTGAGTGCCTATGTTTTACTACTAGGGACTTACTGATAAGATTCTATAGGCCCTAGTTTTTACTGATTAAACAGTCTACAACATGATGGCTAATTTGAAAGCTATTAACGGAATAATTTTGTTAACTTTTCCATTAACATTGCATAGATGAGAAGCTGGGGTATTGATATTGTTAGTTTCAGCCTACTTGAGCTGCCTTCTGTTGAGAGCATGCTTTGGAACATAAAATTGCATGAGAAAAACCTATGATATACAACTTGTTATTTTTTAATATTGACATTTACATTCTGTATTCACAGTTGTGCCACATATTTGGAGCCTTATTTTCTTACATGCAACTTTAAAATCTTGCATGTCTATTATTATTGCTTTTTGAGATTGGAAATAAGTAGATACAGGGATTGATTTTGTATATTGTCTCAAGGTTTTTTTCTCTCATACACTATCAAAATTTGTTAAAACAGCATTGAGTAGATATCTAATAGGTAATAATGCTGGAAAACCTTTTCTTCATATCTAATACCTTACTAGCTTTTACTCATTCTGAATTTTTCTGTTCAGTTTTTCTTTATATCTACAGTTCTGGACTATCTCCTATAGCTGTTTTTTATGACCTGGTTGTCAGTTTCATCCAGTGGGGCTTACTTCTTTAATTTCTTCCTTGTAGAGGAGGTTAATATGTCAGTTCTTGTTGTACCACCTCATTTGTTCTGATAACTCTTCATTGTCTCATTTGAGATGATCTAAATTCTATAAAAGTAACCCTTTTAATATTTTAAGGAACTTAATGCTCTCCTACAGTGTTTCTCCAAAAATAAGTCCCTGACTTATATTTTTTTGAACCCTGAAATAAGTGCTTGGCCTTATTGCCATGCGCTCAAAAGTCCAATTGGGCTTATTATCAGAGGATGTCTTATTTTGGGGAAAACAGGGTATATATATTTATACACAGTCTACCATATTGAGTGGGTTTGGGTTGGTTAGCTTCATAAATTAGCAGCCCAAGTTTGACTAGTGAGATTGTCAGAGGAGGCAATGTTGTTGCCATCAACTAGTGTGGAAACTTGCTAGTATTAGCTGATCTTCAGTCAGTTTTCTAAACAGCTGGATAGGCAACTTCACCAAAAGCTGTATTAGTATGCCCTTGAAAGATTATTCATTTCATGAAAAATATCAGACCTACCTCATCCCAAAATCTCTGTATATGTATAACTGAAACCAAAGATACGTTCATTTTGATGTAATATTGTTAACCCTTGAAATATTCTCAATATGATAAAATCAGAATAAAAATAATATTTCAGTATTAGTAATAGTAAGAACAGGGAAGGGAACACTGAACAAGGCACTGAAAATTATAAGGCTTGCTCAGAATTTCATTTAGAAACATCATATTTGCAAGTGCAGAGCGTTGTAAATAAATAAACCACATTTTCTTAACTCCTTCCAAAGTAATGCGTGTTGGCCTTTGGAGGTTTTAACTTGAAGATTTAATATAATTAGAAATGAATGTAGTGTTAAAATAGGACTCTGGTACAAAATCAGTTTCTTTAGGTAGCTCATAATTACATAGTTGCTCTTCTTTTTTATTTTTAGAAAGCTGTAGATTGTTTAATCAATACAGGGTTCAAACAACATCTAGAAGCCAAATTTTAAAAGTCATTAAGCAAGATTGCAAGATGACCATTGAAAATGATATTCATGCTTTACTCTGTATAGCTTTATTATGATTTGTGATTTATTATGATTTGTGTTTATTTTAAATAACTAAATTTAACTTGATTATAAATATAAAGTTAATGATGGGCTAGGCGGCAAAAGGAATGTAATTGCTTTACACAGCAGCAAACCAGTTCAGTGGCTAGGAATAATAATGGTTCTATGTTATCTCAAGTATCAGAGATAATACCAGCCCCAATACTAGTTGTCTAGAAACACAAATTCTGTATGGCAAGGTTGTGTTTATGGACTCCCTTAAGAATCTGGTTGCCATTATTGGAACCGTATGCTGGAAAAGAGATGCCTTGATTTGATTCAGCTTTGCACTTCTAATGTTCATAGAATATAATTAAAGTTTAATTTTTGCAGATAGGTGACCTTTATTGTTCTAATAATTGCACAATGAACAGTTTCATTTTAAAGCTATTGTGAAGAATCTAAATCTTGAAAATACTTCTCTTATAGGCGTCTTGGTGCAGAACTTGGAAAATCTGTGGTGTACCAAGAAACCAATGGAGGTATGTCAGCAGAATAAAAATATGTGAGATACAAGCTTACAATCTTACAATCAGATAAACAATTTAAATGCCACAGCATATTTATTTATTTATTTATTTATTTTATTCAATTTGTATACCGCCCTTCTAGTGGACTCAGGGCATTGCACAGCCAGAACTAAAACACATACCAATATAAAATTTAAAATTATTAAAAGAATTACATACTTTGGCCCAAATTTAAAACAATTCGAATTAAAACCCATTGACAATTAAGAGCTAAAAAACTAAAAAGACTAAAAAAGGGGGGGGGAGGGTTTCACGCCAGCCCTGCTTGATGGAAAAGAAAAGTTTTCAGGGCACGGCGAAAGACCCGGAGATCCGATATCCTTCGTATCTCCGGGGGCAAATCGTTCCAGAGGGCAGGAGCTGCCACAGAGAAGGCCCTCCCCCTGGGGGTCGCCAGCCGACATTGCCTGGCTGACGGCACCCTGAGGAGTCCCTCTCTGTGGTAGCGTACTGGTCGGTGGGAGGCTATCGGCGGCAGAAGGCGGTCCCGCAAATACCCAGGTCCCATGCCATGGAGCACTTTAAAGGTGGTAACCAACACCTTGAAGTGCACCCGGAAGACCACTGGAAGCCAATGCAGCTCACGCAGGAGAGGTGTCACATGGGAGCGCCACCTCGCTCCCATAATCCGCCGCGTGGCCGCATTCTGCACCAGTTGGAGCCTCCGGGTGCTCCTCAAGGGGAGCCCCATGTAGAGAGCATTGCAGTAGTCCAGGCCGGAAGTGACGAGTGCCTGAGTGACTGTGCGTAAGGAGTCCCGATCCAGAAAGGGACGCAACTGGCGAATCAGGCGGACCTGATAAAAAGCCCCCCTGGCCACGGCCGTCATATGCTTTTCTAAAGACAGTTGTGCATCCAGGAGGACATCCAAGTTGCGAGCCCTATCCGTGGGGGCCAATAACTCGCCCCCAATAGCCAGCGATGGCACCAGCTGGCTATATCGGGACGCCGGAAACCACAGCCACTCGGTCTTGGAAGGGTTGAGTCGAAGCCTGTTACTCCCCATCCAGATCCGCACGGCCTCCAGGCACCGGCACATCACTTCAAGGGCATCGTTGGGATGGCCTGGGGTGGAGATGTACAGCTGAATATCATCAGCGTACTGATGGAACTCCACCCCAAAGCCACGGATGATCTCACCCAGCGGCTTCACATAAATGTTGAACAGAAGGGGCGAGAGGACCGACCCCTGAGGCACCCCACAAACAAGGCGCCTCGGGGTCGACCTCTGCCCCCCTGCCAACACCGACTGCGACCGGTCGGAGAGATAGGAGGAGAACCACCACAGAACGGTGCCCCCCACTCCCAACCCCTCCAACCTGCGCAGCAGGATACCATGATCGATGGTATCAAAAGCCGCTGAGAGATCTAACAGGACCAGGATATAGGAGCAACCCCTATCTCGAGCCCTCCAGAGATCATCCACCAATGCGACCAGTGCCGTTTCCGTGCTGTGCCCAGGCCTGAAGCCGGACTGGAGCGGATCCAGATAGACAGCTTCATCCAGGTACCCAGGAAGCTGTCGCGCCACCACACTCTCGACAACCTTCACCAAGAAAGGAAGATTGGAGACCGGACGGTAGTTAGCCAAAACAGCCGGATCCAGAGCAGGCTTCTTGAGGAGGGGCCTCACCACCGCCTCTTTCAAGGCAGATGGCAAGACACCCTCACTCAAGGAAGCGTTGATAATCCCCTGGAGCCAGCCTCGCGTAACCTCCCGGGAGGCCAGCACCAACCAGGAGGAACATGGGTCCAATAAACGTGGTCACGTTCAGCCACCTCAGTATCCTGTCCACGTCCTCGGGAGCAACGGGGTCAAACTCCTCCCAAATGGCAGTCTCAAGACCCGGCACCCATCATCCCGTCTGTACCTACCCAGTCAGAGACCAAGCCTTCCTGAATCTGAGTGATTTTATCATACAGATACTGGACAAAATCCTCAGCACGACCCTGCAAGGGATCCTCCCGTGCTCCCAGATGGAGGAGGGAGCAGGTCACCCTAAACAGGGCAGCCGGGCGATTATCTGCCGATGCGATAAGAGCAGAAAAATAGTTACATTTTGCCGCTTTTATCGCCACTAGGTAAGTCTTAATATGAGATCTTACCATATGCAAGCTGATCATTCTTTGTTACATTTAGAAACTCACAAAAAGAAAAACTACTTGACCAGACCAATCTAGTCTACATGAATAATAGTAATACATTAAAACAATAAAGGTTAAAAGTTAAATATGGCAAGCATGATGAAGCTCATACTACCTTGCCAAAGGCCTGCATGTAAAACAAGGTCTTCATGGCTCTTCTGAATAATGGCAGAATGGGTGCCATCCAAATCTCAGGGGAAATCTAGTTCCCGACAACAAGCACTGCTATAGAAAAGGCATGCTTCTAGGGTCCCAATAGATGGCGTTGAATCAGACAAACCTGGAGTATGCCTATCCCGTAGGATTGAATCAAATGGCAGATGTTATCAGAGACAGGCAATCCCTCAAGTAATCATGTCCTGTGCCATGTAGGGCTTTATAGGTAACAACCAGCACCTTGAATCACGCCTGGAAGCAAACCAAAAATCAATGCAGCCCACAGGGCAGAAGTGTTATGTGGGCTTACAGAGGCATTCCCATCACTGCTCACACTGCCACATTCTGGACCAGTTGAACTTTCCAGGTGCAATTCAAGGCCAGCCCCATGTTCAGCACAATGGACTAGTCAAGCCACTAGGTCATGAGTGACAGGAGCTCCACTCTAGGAAAATGGCAGAATGTGTGTACCAGATAGAATTGACATTTATTCCTGGCCGCAACTGGTACCTGCTCTTCAAGCAAGAACTGCAAATCCAAGAAGGCTCCCAGACTGCAGACCATCCTTAAAGGGGGATGTGCTACTCGATCCAAGATCAGAGATGGAATATCCCCAGATCTGGGGGGTCCAAAGACCCATAGATACAATAGGTGTAAGCAAAACATACAAAAAACAATAAACAAGTTTGAAACCCAAAGGTAGTTTCTGTTCGTGATCCTATTTATTCTTTGCTGATTTTAAAATGGCCAATGAGAGCCAGATAGTCTTTGAACTACAACCACAGTTGGGCCCAAAATTTATGTTGCTAAGTGAGACATTTGTTAAGTGAGTTTTGTCCCGTTTTACGACTTCTTGCCACAGTTGTTAAGTGAATCACTGCAGTTGTTAGTAACCTGGTTGTTAAGTGAATCTGGCTTCCCTATTGACTTTGCTTGTGAGAAGGTTGCAAAAGGTGATCACATGACCCCGGGACACAGCAACTGTCATAAATATAAACTAGTTGCCAAGCATCTGAATTTTGATCACATGATCATGGGGGTGCTGCAATAATCATAAGTGTGAAAAATGATCATAAGTCACTTTTTTCAATGCTGTTGTAACTTTGAACGGTCACTACATGAACTGTTGTAAGTCAAAGGACTACCTGTAGTCCTTTTTTGATTATCTTGTTGCTTCCACAACATTTTGAAACATTTCTATATTTCTGTCTATGACTAGGTAACTATTGAACTAGATTCATTTCTGTGTGGTGAACTACTTAGGCTGTGTTTATTCTTACAAAATTTACTATGTGTTTTTCCAAGGATTCAAAGTTGTGGTTTTTTTAACCATGCAAAAATCTTGTGAGATAAGTAGACCTGAGAGTTAATGGATTTCATAACTGAGTGCAGATAGGAATTGGTCTCTACAGTCCTGGACTGGAACATGATTTTTCCTACATCTGAGTTGCTATACAGGTAGTCCTCACTTAACAACCACAATTGGGACTGGCAACTCTATCATTGAGCAACATGATTGTTAAATGAAACATCATTTGATGATAATGAACCTACAGCCTCGCTTTTACTGTGGTTGTTAAGCCAATAACCCACAGTCATTAAGCGAGACATCAAGTGATTGTGACTTGCGATTTTATTGCCAGCTTCTGCATATTGGAAGTTAGTTGTGTAGCATGCAAATGGTGATCATGTGCCTGCAGGGGACACTGAAAAGGTCATAAATGTGAGGAACAGTCATAATATTTTTTTTTCCCCAGCAAAGACATAACTTTCAACAATTGCTAAACAGAGCAAGGTCTTCCTGTATCTACTATCAATATTTCAGATTCGAGCTAGCTGCATCAGAATTTTTGAATGGAAGGTGTCTTGACATTGGGGCTGTGCAGAGCTCTGGATTTGAAGAGCAAAGTATGATTTAGAATGTGCACCAAGCACCCATTTTACAGCTGCATGTTTTCTTGGTCTTGTGCTCAGCTGCAGAAGCATGACAACTATATGATGATGTTACTGTTGCTTATAAAAGTTGATAAATTGGGGAAAGATCTATATAGGGATTAAAAAACAATGAAAACTTTTATCACTGCACCTGGAGGCAATGACATATACGTAGTCTAACTAATGTGTGCAGGTTTGCTTTGAGAAGTTGCTTGATAAATTATATATTTCTCTCCCTGCCATAATGGGAAGTCTCGTCAGAAGAATTATGAATGTGATAAATCTTCTGTTCAAAAGCCCTTTAAATGAGGATTTATTTATTACGATTATTTAACTGTGCATTAGAACCTCCAGGAGCTCAAAATGATATACTCAGCTTCTATTCTTCCATTCCTTTTCTCTGCAACAGCCATTTGAGGTAGACAGAGACTCATCCATTGCTAAGAGTGGACTTGAATCTGGCTTTCCCTAATTTTAGTTCAACCCGTTAACTGTACACTGTTGGTTTTCAGAAGGGGAATCTATAGTACAACTTTCCAAACATCTAGAAAGAGGTGGAGGGTAGCTAGAGCTAAGGATAGACAGACAGAAATGGCTTGGCAAAGAGAACAGAATTTATTCACATCAGCAAATATTTGTGGTGTAAAAACTTTTGTCCTTAAATTTAATATATAATAACAGATTTCTTTTAAGATTCAAATGCCATTCATTTCTGTAGGATATGTTTTATTTTCATTAGAGTAGGATAGATTTGTAATGGATTCTTTTTTAACCCCATCCAACCCGTGTATTTCAATGCTGCTATTAGTAGTTTAAGGATACCATTAGACAGTCTTGCAAAGTTTGTTTAACTACCTGTGTTTCTCTGCAGAAACAAGAGTTGAAATAAAAGAGTCAGTCCGAGGACAAGATGTATTCATTATTCAGACAATTCCCAGGTGAGAGTTTTGTACATTGTCCTTGAATAGTGAAAATTAAAATGCATTTTCTTGGATAAATGAACTGTCCTGTTGAGTTTACTAGTTCTGTATGAAATTTTCTAACAAATTAACACATGCAAATACTCTTCTCCCAACCCCACTACAGTTTATCCTTGCTGCTAATGATTACTGCTGTTCTGGGATGTCTTCTTAGTTGAAATGTACTATGTACAAGTTAAGTGTATAGTTTAATTAATTGTATACAAAATGTTATGTCCTAGAACATGGTCTTAAATCTTGCCTGGATATGCATTGCAAAAGTTTGTTAATGATTTACAAACTATTTTTCCCAGCTATTGCGTTTTGTAATCTGTGCCTTAATTTTATGTATGGACTATTCAACAAATTATGATGTAGTGTAAAACATAGCCTACAATTGATTTTGTCTTGACAAAATATCCGATATTGTAGGATTATGGACACAGAGATAACTGATCTGTATTTTCTACCTTTTCAGAGATGTGAACACTGCAGTAATGGAACTGTTGATTATGGTTTATGCACTGAAAACATCCTGTGCCAAAACCATCACAGGTGTAATTCCCTACTTCCCTTATAGCAAACAAAGCAAAATGAGGAAGAGAGGCTCAATAGTCTGTAAACTCCTGGCTTCCATGTTGGCTAAAGCAGGTAAATGGGCTGATTAGAGGCAACATTGGTTTTAGTTCTCGCAGTTCATCTAAGCGATGTTTGATCTGTCACCAAAGATGGCGACAAGAATAACTGATTTTGTAGAGTTTTGCCTTCTGCTATAAGAATAGCTTTCTGCGGGAAAGCTATCAGAACAATTATTAAAAAAAAAACATGTTTAGAATCACTCATACTGATATTTGAAAGAGACTCCATAGTAATGAACTCACTAGTAAATGAGGATTAGAAGTTTCCATCACAGATTCCAAGATTCTGTGCATTACCCCTAATTTGTGTGTGTGCATGTGCATGTGTGCTTAGCAAATGACAAATCTTTGTGTTAAAAATATCTGTGATTTTTCCTTCTTTGTTTATGCCCTGTTGTATATATTTGTGTGTAAGAAAGAAAGGGACACGAAATGCAAATGATTCAGCTGTTCCTTTTTTTATCAATAATGTAAAAGGCTATGGGTTAGCATATTCTGTTATATATAACATTCTGTTAGTATATCATAAGAAAAATATCCTCCAAATAGAGGTAGTCCTCGATTTACAATAACTCATTTAGTGACCATTTCAAGTTACAACAGCACTGAAAAAAGTGACTTATGACCGTTTTTCACACAATCATTGTGCATTCCACGGTCATAATTTAGACACTTGACTACTGACTCATTTTTATGATGGTTGCAGTATCCTGGGGTCATGTGATCACCTTTTGTAACCTGATAAGAAAAGTCAAAAGGGAATCTAGATTCGTTTAACAATCTTGTTACTAACTTCAATGATTCACTTAACATCTTGGAAAAAATGTCATAAAATGGGGAAAAGTTCGTTTAACAAATGTTTCACTTAGCAATATAAACTTTGGGCTCAATTGTGGTTGTAAGTTGAGGACTACCTGTAACCGCAAATAATTGGAGCTAGTTCATTTCTTAATGACTTCACTAATGTTAATCAGCTTTTTTGGTGCTAAGATCATTATACCACTTTCTTTTAATCTGAAAAAGTTTTGATTAAATATCCTTTGTTTGCTTCTTAGAGTATGAATCTTTCCTGAAACACTGAAGAATGTGTATTCAGGTTATAACAGACATCAGGAATGCACATTATAATTACAGAATCTTTCTTCAATAACTAAATGTGATTTTAAACATTAAAATGAGATTTCCTGCCTTGTGATTTAAGTCCATCCTGATAGCAAGCTGTTAATTCCAGCTTAAATAATTAGCTATCCCTCTGTAATTGTTGGAAGTTGTATATATAATGTTTTATATTTGTTTGGTTTTTAGGTTTAGGCCACATCATCACTATGGATCTTCATCAAAAAGAAATACAGGGTTTTTTTAGCTTTCCTGTTGACAACTTGAGAGCATCGCCTTTCTTGCTTCAGTATATACAGGAAGAGGTATAAAATGATTTTGATCTCTTAATAGTCATAACCTTTGTTCTATTAGAAGATGATGTTTTTGTATCTATATTATCTCATACCTAACTGAGACAGTACAGATAATGAAAAAACTTTTGGAGTACTGAGTATTGTTACACCTGCTCCCAAATTTAGGTTACGATCATTCACACATGCAGCCTATTGAGACAAGCAGATTTTGCAACTACCCGTGTTTTCTACCTGGGTTTTCCAGAGAGTTGTGACTAGAGGTTATGACACACGCAACTCCATTGAACAGCCAGGAAATAATTAGGAACACACAGAAATCATTTTCAACCAAACAATGAGGCATGTCAAGTTCTGGTGGAATAAATGGAGACCTAATGATTAAACCTACAGTTGCTCTCTCACATGCATTCATCCCTGTTACCAACATCCTTCTCAACTAGGCTGCCAGGCACTAGCTAGATAGACTGAAACTGCCATGTCTGAGTCCAAGATGATTCAAAGAGTGGGCAGGCTTCAGAATCCCTTTTATTCCACAAAGCTCTTGCTTTGTTGATTTAAAACAAAGTATGGTAACTCTCAATGGGATGGGGGAATCTCTATGTTAAACCCCCAATCTCCCTTGTCTGTCTGCTGATTATGTATGTATGTATAGACTGAGCAGTATCACTTCTTCTCTGATCCTTAATAATTTGGTTTGTTCTTAACTATCTCGTGAAGAGATCTTTTTGACAAGATTCCTGGTTCTTGTCCTCTTCGTCTACATGCCTGCCTCATATTAACATGATGGCATCTTCATCCTGGCCTCACATTCTCACACAACCTAGCCTCATATTATAATGGGTAATCCCTCACACAGTTAAAGAAAAAGGAAGTGTAATTATTTTATAGTAATGGATTCAGCACTTATTTAAAAGTTACCAAGTATGGTAGTCCTTAAATGATTTTTCCCCAGTCAAATAATAACAAATAATTACTTGTAAACACAATTACTTTCAGAACCAAACTGCTTTAAAATCAAAACGTTTCTCCCTTCTTCTTTTTTTTTTAGATTCCTGATTATAGGAATGCAGTTATAGTAGCAAAGAGTCCTGATGCTGCTAAGAGGTATTTATTTAGATATGAATATGGGTAGTCGTTGACTTATGAGTGCAGAGGAGCCCAGAATTATGATTACAAGTCATGATGGTAATTAAGCAGGTCACCATGTAGCCATGCCCAATTTTATGACCTGTTTTGCAGCAATTGTTAATCAAATGTGTTGGTTGATAAATGAACATAATTACATATTATCCAATGAGCATTTTTTGCTTAAACTGGAAGTAAACGCCAGAAACCACCGAAAATTGCGGTCATGTGACCGTGGGACTCTGCAAACAGTCATAAATGTGAGTCTGTTGCAAAGCGCCCCAAATGCGATCTCATGTCCACAGGGACATGTGCGGCCATTGGAACTCTGGAACTGGGTTGTGGGTTGTCATAACTTCAAATGGTCGCTAAATGACAGATTGTTAAGCAAAGACTACCTATATTACAAAATTCTTATCTGCAAAATTCCACCTAGTAGGATTGTACAGAGATCAAAATTCAATGACCAAATGTGGTTTAGAACATTTTGTACAATCTCTGGAAAAGATGCTAGTACAGAATTCCTGGGAATCCATGTGCTTATCCACTCACATTGTCAAATTATATATTTCTCTTTAGATCTGGGTTTATGCACAACCATAGAAATTGAATCTTATATGCCAATGACTTCCAACTTTTAGGGGATCATTCTCCAAATAATGCCCTTCAAAATGGATCTCTAATAAGTGGAATTAAATGGATATATGCACTGAACCACTTTAGCGTAGAAATTTTTAATTAAGATCCCCAAATTAAAAGCTTAGATTATCTTTTATGCATAAGTCAGTAGGCTAAATAATAGCATTTTTTTTCCCCTAGAAGCCTAATAAGACATTTTTCAGAAATGAAAACACAGCTTTTTCGTGCATCCATGAATGCTTAAAAATAATATATACTTAATAGAAAAAAAATGCTTATTGGGGGAAAAAATCAAAGGGCCAAAAGCATCTGTACTATTTTGCTGAAAGGAAGCATAATTTTAATTTTCATCAATTGATGAAAAAGCGTGCATGACTCCTTTCTTCACCTTGTTTGAAAAATGGGTAAGTGAATATATCTTTAAAGTTTCTCAGAGAAAGTCTTGCCTTGACTAATACTTGGTTCCTACTTACGCAGGGCCCAGTCTTATGCTGAGCGACTGCGGTTAGGCCTGGCAGTTATCCATGGAGAGGCTCAGTGCACAGAGCAAGACATGGATGATGGGCGGCACTCTCCTCCAACAGTAAAAAATACTACGTTGTGCACTGGCCTGGAGCTACCCTGTATGTTGTTACATTTTTCTATATTTGTACACAGTAGCTTGTCAAACTTGTCCACTCACATTGTCAAATTATATTTTTCTCTACATCAGGGGACAATCTAGAATCTGTTATATTTGGCTAAACCATCCAGTTGTCAAGTATAGAATTTATCTGTATTTACACTGCATTTCTTCATGTTGAAAGTGGGGGCTTATATGATTAAACATATCTAAGTGTAGAAATAGCATATTGAGAAGTAGGATTCTAATAACATTTATTGCTTCCTTTTGGTTTATGCCTGGAAGAATGTCTACACTGGAATCTTTTATAAAATCAGCAAGCATGTAAAAGTAAAACATAATATTTCTAAACATTGGGTAGGTTTGCACTTTTAAGTAGTATCCCATTTTTTACAGTACATATTGCAATAGGTAAAGAAATGTGTATAATTTACTACTGCTAGCATTATGATTTGGATTGCACTATAATCAGCTGAAATTTAATAACAAATTATTTGCTTCTATTGGTGTTGGAAGATTATGAATGAAGTAGCATTTGCCAGTAAAATATTAGTAAATTTCTGTTTAGCAAATTATTGTTTTTGAGTAGTAGGTAGCCATCCGTTTATTGGAAACAGAAATGCTAATTTTGAGGAAGCTAGTTTGCATTTGGGTTTGTTTGTAATTAAAATTTTTATTGAAGGTTATCACCACAAATGGGCATGGTGGAACTCACTTCCAAGTATCCACTGACACAGAATTAATCTGTCTTCACAACTGCCTCCTACAGTAATAATCTATATATATAAAAGCAAAAACCACTCACGCCGTAATCATGAAATCTCCAGAACCGTAAAGTCTACAAACTTGAAATTTGCCACTTATGTTCCTCTTGGCTTCTAGGTGCTCACTAAGAAAGGATTTTTCAAAATGACCATCAGAGCATTAGTATTTCTTATATTATTATAACACACTCTGATGCTAATTAGTTAGATGTTCTACTCCCCCTCCCAACTTGAAAATAACTGGAGAGAACGGGATAGCATAGGACAGGCTTCTGTGGGGCAAGGCTGAGGGAGAGAAGGAGATAGCATAGGACAGGCTTCTATGGGGCAAGGCTGAGGGAGAGAAGGATAGGATAAGGGAGGCTTCTGTGGACAAGGCTGAGGAGAGAAGAGGATAGGATAGGGGAGGCTTCTGTGGGGTAAGGCTGAGAGAGAAAGAGATAGGATAGGGGAGGTTTCTGTGGGACAAGGCTGAGGGAGAGAAGGGGATAGGATAGGAGAGGCTTCTGTGGGGCAAGGCTGAGGGAGAGAAGGAGATAGCATAGGACAGGCTTCTATGGGGCAAGGCTGAGTGAGAGAAGGATAGGATAAGGGAGGCTTCTGTGGGACAAGGCTGAGAGAGAGAAGGGGATAGGATAGGGGAGACTTGTGTGGGGCAAGGCTGAGGGAGAGAAGAGATAGGATAGGGGAGGCTTCTGTGGGGTAAGGCTGAGAGAGAAAGAGGATAGGATAGGGGAGGTTTTCTGTGGGACAAGGCTGAGGGAGAGAAGGGATAAGATAGGGAGGCTTCTCTGGGGCAAGGCTGAGGGAGAGAAGGGGATAGGATAGGAGAGGCTTCTGTGGGACAAGGCTGGGGAGAGAAGGAGATAGCATAGGACAGGCTTCTATGAGGCAAGGCTGAGGGAGAGAAGGATAGGATAAGGGAGGCTTCTATGGGGCAAGGCTGAGGGAGAGAAGGATAGGATAAGGGAGGCTTCTATGGGGCAAGGCTGAGGGAGAGAAGGATAGGATAGGGGAGGCTTCTGTGGGACAAGGCTGAGGGAGAGAAGGGGATAGGATAGGAGAGGCTTCTGTGGGACAAGGCTGGGGGAGAGAAAAGGATAGAATAGGGGAGGCTTCTGTGGGGTAAGGCTGAGAGAGAAAGAGGATGGGATAGGGGAGGCTTCTGTGGGACAAGGCTGAGAGAGAAGGGGATAGGATAGGGGAGACTTGTGTGGGGCAAGGCTGAGGGAGAGAAGAGGATAGGATAGGGGAGGCTTCTGTGGGGTAAGGCTGAGAGAGAAAGAGGATAGGATAGGGGAGGCTTTTGTGGGACAAGGCTGAGGGAGAGAAGGGGATAAGATAGGGAGGCTTCTCTGGGGCAAGGCTGAGGGAGAGAAGGGGATAGGATAGGGGAGGCTTCTGTGGGGTAAGGCTGAGAGAGAAAGAGTTAGGATAGGGGAGGCTTCTGTGGGACAAGGCTGAGGGAGAGAAGGGGATAGGATAGGGGAGGCTTCTGTAGGACAAGGCTGGGGGAGAGAAGAGGATAGGATAGGGGAGGCTTCTGGTGGGGTAAGGCTGAGAGAGAAAGAGGTTAGGATAGGGGAGGCTTCTCTGGGGCAAGGCTGAAGGAGAGAAGGGGAGAGGAGAGGCTGATCGTAACTACTCATTAATTTTCAAGCTGTAAGTGTCCATTTATCAAGCCCGATCACATAGTTTTGTAGCGGAGTACGGGTATTCAGCTAGTATTGAATGAAATCACATTTGGAATGGTACAATATCAGCTACTTTACTATATGTCTGTATTATTTTGTCTGATTTTTTAATATTTAGTAGTGATCCCAAGTCTGGTTGATTCCAACTTCATTTCAGCCTTTGGTTGTAATTTTTTAAAATGTCAGACAGGCACACTAATGCTCAGGTCATTTGGGTTTAAAATGGAAATATATTTATCTCATGTAGGGAGCTTGCAATATATTATCTATATATGTATGTATATTAATTCACATATACAGTAATTGGTTCTGTATTGGTTACAATCCAATTAAAGAGATATCTTTAATTACTTCCTTATTGGTCATAATCCAATTGTAAACAATAAGGAAATAATTAAAGATAAATCTTTAGTGATGCAATATGAACACTACAGTAAAACACTATGCTATGCATTAATTTACAAAGCAAGAACATGTATACCTACTGTACAATAAATCTATGGTTCTGGGTTTGTTTCCCTCCTATAGTGATGATGGCCAAAGAGAAACCACCTATAACAGTAGTTGGAGATGTTGGAGGTAGAATTGCCATAATTGTGGTAAGGAATGAAAAAGGCCAGAGAGCAAATGTGAACATCTTCAGTTTGAACTCTGCTTAATTATTTATATCTGAATATAGCTTGGATTTTAGTTCTGGGCTCAAAGCCAATATTGATTATGCTGACACTTTTCAGCAGTCACACAATATCCCTTTCCACTTTTGCTGTGCTTAATTAAAGACAGATGTTCTACATCATCCACACGATCCTGTTTATAATAGACATAATATTGGTTTCTGAAATCTGTATGTTTTGATAAATGTGCAAACAAAACACAATTCTGAAGGGTTATCAGTATACAGTTTTCCTATTCTGAGGGAATGACTAACCTTATGTCTTACTAAGATTATATAATATTATATATTACTGTAGCCAATTTCAGCAGGATAGCTTTTAATATCTTTTTTAATTATATGAACTTGGTACATTGTTTCATTATTTATTTATTTATTTATTTATTTAATTTATTTATTTTTCATATTTGTATACCGCCCTACTCCCGAAGGACTCAGGGCGGTGAACAGCCATAATAAATACAAATACATATAGAAGTTAAAAACTATTTAGAAACAGATGTTACTAAATTCAGTGGTATTGTAGTTAAATCTGGCTTCCTGACACTAGGTATGTCAGTTGACAGAACCTGTGTAAAAATTTCTCACAATATGAAGGCACGATGAAACGTGACCTTTTCCGAAGATATTCCAGATATTCCAGGTTGTTTCTAGAACATAGTGTATTTCTAAATCAGGGCAGCTATTTTGTAAATCTAACTTTGGGGGAAAGGTAACTAACAATGCAGTCAAAGTTAAATTTAAATTTTTGAATATTATCTGGTTTTTTTTTTTAATTCTTTCAAAACATTTTGGGGAAAAGTTATTACATCTTAAGATGCAATCTATATTGTGCTGATAGAAAATACTTGTTAAAATGTTTGTGGATGAAAAAAATGATGGATTAACATTAGGCAAATACTTTTAATTCTTCAGATCTTTTTGAATTTACATTAGTGCTAAAGCATTTGAGGCAAGAGCATAGCTCCTTTTATCCTTTTTTTACAGAATTTAACTGGGATATGCTTTTCTTCTCAGGATGACATAATTGATGATGTTGAAAGTTTTGTGGCAGCTGCCGAAATCCTGAAAGAGCGTGGTGCTTACAAGATCTTTATCATGGCCACTCATGGTCTGTTGTCTGCTGATGCCCCACGTCTAATTGAAGAGTCCTCAATTGATGAGGCAAGTTTCTGTATGCAATGGATTAATAATTTGAATGTCTTTTTTCCAAAACAAAGAACAAAAAGCAGAACTAGAACCAAAAAACCTTCTCTAAAATAAAAGAAAAAAATTTATTGGGGGGATCTAATTGAGTATGTGCATGAATATATCTATAACACACAGTAAGTCCATGCAAAGCATTTGAAAGAGATAACGCCTTTTCATTCAACTACTTCAAGTTCAGTTCAATTGTTTCCAATTGTCTCTGCCTGTAGGTGTATGTATGCCTAGCTACTTTACTTTGCTGGCAGTTCTAGGGAAAGTGGTGTTTGCAGCTTTATTTTGAGCCTCTTATCTAAAGAGTTCTGGTTTTGAAATATCCCATAGTTATTAGCAATTGGCAGATACAAATGCGTAGAGGTTACTGCTACTGTGTGTATACAGAGCCCAAAGAGAAATTCTAGCAGTTTCTACTTGCATTCATCTCATTCTGCCCTTTTTATAGTAAATAACCTGTAGCAGAGAGCAGGCTTTCGTGGGTTAACAGGATAAGTTGAAATTGGAAACTAAGTGTCATTAGTCTGTCATTTCAGAAAAAGTAATAGTTGAAAACAAAATGTTCAGACAGGAGACCTCCTAAGGTTTATTTTTTCTTTTAAAAGATGTGTCTTTTTTGTGCCTTAAGATTCCTGCTTTTCTCCTTTTCAGCACAGTTTGTTCTCCGTATAGCCATAATTCAGTGCTGAATGTTTCCAGACTATGGAAACAAAGGGCTCTGTTTTGATGCCTTCCTGTCCAAATAATCTGTCCTTTCAGATCTGTGTATAATTTTCCTAAAGAAAAGTTGTGCCTCCCAGGTGTTTTTCTGAATTAATGGTGTGGAGGGAGAGGAAGCAGTTGCCAGTGGCAGCAGTCAGATACATTTCTTCAAGTAGGAAATATAACAGAGCAGTACAGAGGGTGTATAGTGGTGCATTGTGTCTACCAACTTTAAGATTACCTACACACAAAGCTACATGTCAGATGTTGTAGACGTTTATAGAATTGACAGAGAATGTTAGCCCTGTAAAAATAAAGAGTGCCATACCACTATACTAAGGTGCCACCAGTCAAGCAGAGGGGCATATAATTACCACTCTTGGGTCAGAGAAATTCCTTTTCAAGGAAATACATACTGAAGGGGTTTTTTAAAGTCATTTCATAAACCGTGTCATATATAAACATGCACTAAATCCTTCCAGATCTATTTTACTCTTATTTCAGTGCATGGTGATTTCAGGACTATCCTGTCTAGGAGGAGGATGTCATATCAAATTCTTGAGTTGTAAACTCTGTACAGGTAGTCCTCAACTTACGATCACAATTGAGCCCAAAATTTCTGTTGTTAAGTGAGTTTTGCCCCATTTTACGATTTTCCCTTGCCACATTTGTTAAGTGAATCACTGCAGCTGTTAAATTAGTAACACAGTTAAGTGAATTGACTTTGCTTGTCAGAAGGTTGCAAAAGGTGATCACATGACCTCAAGACACTACAACCGTCATAAATATGAGTCAGTTGGCAAGCATCCAAATGTAAATCACATGACCACGAGAATGCTGCAACGGTCATAAGTGTGAAAATGGTCATAAGTCGCTTTTTTTTTTACTGATGTTGAACTTTGAACAGTCACTAAGTGAACTGTTATAAGTCGAGGACTACCTGTATTGTACCCTTTATGTCTGTTTGCACCAGTGATAACTGGTGATGCAACTGATAGATTTGCTTTCTCTTATTATATCCAAAACAAATTCATTTTTGATTTTCTATGTCTTACAGTAATTCCGTTAACTGCATTTCAAACCATGCCAAGGGACATCGCAAATACTTTAATCTCAAATCTAGCTATAATTCCTTCTTATCTGATGAAATCTTACATACATAAATAATCTGTTTCCCAATAATAATTCCAAAGAGCTGCTAGCTTGATTTTTTTCTTAGATAATATTTTTCATGGATGGATTCTAAATAGATATTCCAACCATGTTTTCTGATGCCGTTTTCTTTTACTATACTTTGATAGGTTGTGGTCACCAATACAGTTCCTCATGAAGTACAAAAACTGCAGTGTCCCAAGATAAAGACTGTGGATATCAGCTTGATCCTTTCTGAAGCTATCCGTCGCATCCACAATGGGGAGTCTATGGCTTACCTCTTCCGCAATATTACCATGGATGATTAAATTTATTTTTTCTCATTCTGCCATCAGTTTCCTTAAAGAGAAGGGCAAACAGTATGTATATGACCAAGAGTGCCATAAAGTTGATAGTGTGTTTTTAAAAATATAACAGGGCTGAGTATTTTGAGCTGAGGTTCACAAATCCTGCATAGAGACTGGATCAGGGTGCAGATAGGCATTGGAATATATTGCTGAACTATTTGAATGATGCTAGTTGTGGCTTTTTGCTCTTGTTATATCTTGTGTATCATGAGAGGTAATTGGGGGATGACTTTAAAGGTGCACTGAGACTTGCTCTACATGCATATCCTTACATCACACAAAAATATATTTTCCTTGCCATCTTTGGAACAATTTTTAACATCGTGGTAGCAGCAAGTTTTTCTTTTGTGAAACGGTCTCCAATGATTCATTTCCATCAACAATAACATAGTATGATGCTATCTGGTTCCAAAGTTGAGGTAAAAAGTTGAATGTGCTACCTCTTTTTTGTTACAGAGAATATGTTGTAATCCTGACTAGCTGCCTAAAAGAGAAGCATAGCAATTCTATATATAATGGTTACTACAGTGTGTGCTAAAATATATAGTTCAATGGGATTTGTACTCCGTGTTTGTGCATGGCATAAGATGGGATATTTTAGTTAGAAGATATGGAGAACTCAGTGCAATCCTATCTTGTGCCATACACATCTTTATTCACTGATATAGAATGGTTAACCTAGTGCAGTGATGGCTAACCTTTTCCGGACCGAGTGCCCAAAGCAGGCCTGAACCCCCAAAATACAATGCGTGTGCGGCCCCTGTGCTTGCGCCTCGCCCCTGCCCATGCGTGCACCCCCCCGCACCTCCTATGCATGCATGCATGCATCCTGCCCCCTTGCATGTGCACCCCACCGCACGTGCCCTGCCCCCCACACATGCGTGGCAGAGACCCGAAGACCAGCTGGCTGGCAGGAGGCGCACGCACATGTGCAGCAGAGCTGAACTGGGGCAACGGCTTGCGTGCCACCAGAGAGGGTGCTGCGTGCCACAGGTTCGCCATCACGGACCTAGTGAAATGAACTCTGATTTTTAGAGCACTAAGTTAGCAATCACACACTACAGTATTTTAACATTAAGGCCTTTGTTGGGATGATTGAGCTTCTTTTCCAGTGCAGTGATTCTTGAGCATTTTATTAGACATTAGCTTCTGGCTTGGAAATGAAGCTATCTACTTCCACACAGTTTCTTTCCCTCTGGTATGTGTTCCTAGGACACCAAAATTTCATCTCTTGAATTTCCTCCACTCCAGAGGTCTCGTCTCTGCTTGGAATTGGCTTGATTAATTCCTGCATATCTTCAGAGCTTCAGAATAGAAAATTAGATCTTAATGTCATATCTATTGCAAGTCGTTTGAATTAAGACTGAATTGCATATATGGTAGCAAAAGGGAAGCATGTTTTCCCTTTTCTACAGAGCAGATCTTGAATTTTCTAAAATATAAGAGCATTAACTTCCTTCAGAAAATTTCATGAAGCCAGCCATTCTTAATGCTATTTTATTTCAACTTGTATTTTGTTTGAAAAAGTCTAAATCATACTTACCTGCATAGGCCAACAACCCAAACCTGCTGTTGTGGTAGAATAGGCGCAAGAGATAGGAAGGCAAGAGGTGGATTTGAGAAAAATGCTACCCACAATGCAGATAAGCCTAAACCAGACCAAATTTTACTCAGCTTCCTTAATCTATAGTTTTTTGGATTAGTTTGTTTTGCTTCTTTTGGGATTTATTGATTCCTATATCTGCTCCAATATCCTGTATCCTTTCACACTTAAATTGGAGACATTGTATTGGAACTGTCGTCCCGTTTCCTCCCCCCCCCCCCCCCCCCGGGTGTCATTATTTTGCATTTCCTAGTATTCCTTATCTTGCTGCTCTTCTAACCATTCCAATTCATTTTGGCCTCTTCAACTTGGACAGTTCTTTCTCTTTTTAAATTTGCTATTATCTGTCTATTCAGTTTAGCAAATTTTCCTTTTGGCAGCTTTGATCATTACAAGAAATGCCTAAAATAAGGTATCTGGATCTTGCATGTAATGATTAAAATAGTGGGAAGACTTGCTTTCAAGAAATTATTGATGCATTTTTGTATCTTTTCTCATTAATATTGTTATTACCTCAATCCTCTAAAAAGTATACATGCAACCATCATTTTGCTCATAGTCCATTTGCTCTTAGCTCACTTGCTCAAACAGCTCTTCATACCTCAACCCCTTAGATAAAACATTTCTCAGTTTGACCATATTGAAATCAAGTGTTCTCTTTTCACATAATTTTTAGAAGTATTTAATACCAGGCAAGGTATAAAACTGTTTGTTATCTCATTAATATTATTAATTATCCCATTATTGTGATTTTCTTATTAACAGTGATAATCACTTAATGGTATTATAGCATATTATATATTATTGTCCAAGTCTTCATGATCATGGAAATATTGTTCATTGCTTTATTGTGTATTGTTCTCATATTCCTGCTTTAAAGGAAGAGAAAGAAAAAGATTCTTCTTTGCTATAGCCAACCTAGTCCCAAAACATGGGTAAATATGAATCTTAAGAGCATTTAATTCATTAATTATATCAAAAGCACAGTCATAGCAATGGTGAATAGTTACAATAGAATGCTGAAAGTACAGAAATATTATCCCAGCTTCACAACCAATATATGTTGGCACAACTAATTAAATGCCTTAACTGTGGGATGGTGATTCTAATTCACGTCAGTGATTGCCAAAAGAGATCTGACATGGTCTTCTAGACATATTAACCAAAAACAACTTATGTTCTCTCAGAAGGTTTCGCTGCATGACTTATCAAAAATATAGGCAAGATTATGTAGCATTCTTTCTTCGTTTACTATTGAGAAAAAGGATCTATCCTTAATTTCCCTTACATTTTTCCACCCATCAAAGCATATTTAAGTAACTTCCATTTCATATTCAGGGACAAGAAGACTGGAAGTCCAGGAAGGGTCTTGGCTGTTCAGCAAACCAATCCCTTTGTTTATATATACCAGCTTACAATTTAGCTACCTTTTTACATATCTCTCATGAGTGCAGATATGTAAATCTCAACATGGGAACATCTTGTTCTTATTTCAGTCTGGTTAACAAATCAGAGTATTCTGAGGTAAAAAGCAATATTTTGAGATAGTTTCATAAATCATTAATGATGACTGATTTAGAAAAATGTTTAATCCATTGCTATGATTTTCATGGGTTGGTCTTAGGTTCAAAGTTCAAACACTTTTGATTTTAAGTCTTTACTTTTTAAAGGTAAACAGCATTGACTGAACTGTAGGTGAAATCCAAAAATGTGATTTCTAAACTCAAGCAAATGGAGATTTATGCTGCATATTTATTACCTGTTTTACAACAATCAAATCCATCCGTATATAGTCCAGTAAAAATGCAAATACTGCAGCATTAAAACAATATTTGGGATTTTTATCTGCTTTAAGCAAATTGTCAGGGTCATGAAGTTCAGGTCATGGATTCCAGAGCAAGAGTGATGACTGATTAGGATTAAAGTAGCATAAACAAGTCAGGCATGACATTTATCTTTTGTGAGATAGTATAAATATGTCCTCATTAAGCACAGAAATCTATTTGCTTTTAAACTGGTGGGAATTTTTTATTGGTGGTTTTAAGTAAAGATGAAAAAAGAATGCCTCTCCTGTTATACCACCCTGAATTCATGGGAAGATTTTGCCTCTTACTAAGCTATCTTTTGAACCAATTATTTTATTAGTTCATGGCTTTTTAAAAAGCTTGATTTTAGATGTTATAATTCTCCCATAGCATTGGAGACCTCAATCTCTTACAGCAACCGAATCTTCTGATAATGTTTTTATCTTTCCTGGTATATCCTTCCTAACATTTTATTATCCTCAAAACTGAGTGCAAGATCCTATTTTAAATGCATACCAGATTATATTTTAAATGCATGCCAATGGCAAGCATTTAAATAGAGTTAAAGAGTTTGGCTTGTAATCTAGCTAGTGGTCTAATAATGACAGTTTTATAAGGCTTTATAAAGCTCCTTGGCTTTTTAATCAGAAATTTAAAATACCTTTATTCAAATTCACTATTAGGTCTTTAGTAGTACAAATATTTCCTCTCCATACTTCTGTCTTGTTTTTTTCTGCATTTCATATAGGTATAAAGGGAGGGGGAGCAGCTTAAATTAAATTAGTAGCTAATTAAACTCCCTTAAATTGAGGTTGTGGGATAAGATGAAGTAAGTTTGTGATTTTGGTTTCTGAAATATTCTGACTCATGGGAAAATTGGTTATGGACAGCACAATGTGAAATAAGAGAGAGCAAAACCATAGAGCTTCTGAAAAATTAAATATTAATCATTTTGAAGAGAAGATCTGCCATTATATTTTAATTAACATTACTTAAAGTGACTGTAATTGGTAACTTTCCAAAACAACAAAAAAGTAATACTCTTGAATATTATGCCTCATTTCCCCAAGCTACAGAGTTCAGAAAACCCAGTGCTTCAGTAAAGCTAGTGCTAAATTGAAGGAAAACATGGAGATACATATGTAAGGGATTCATAGCTAACAAGTGCATGCTAAAGTACAATTTAGATCTAACGCAATGTGAAATGTCCATTGTGGGCTGCCCGTATTCAATTCAAATCAAAATTTAAAAATAGATCATGTAGAAATGCTCTAAAATGAAAGCTGAAATCATTTTCAATCTAGTACCCACTGTCTTTACAGAAGTAGATGCAATTGAACTAGCCTAAATCTGAAGTTTGAAGAAATATTCTTTTGTCTTCTTTGGGTGCATCATGATAGTTCTAAAAGTAGTTTCATAAATGAACGGGAGATGTATTCAGAATAATTTTGCAATGCTTAATCACTGTGAAGTGACTTCATATTTTTGAAGCCTGCTGATGTTCAGTTATTAGGGATTTGATAGGACTTTTTAGTATATATCAATTATTATTATTGCAGCTTGTTCTTA